CGCACGCACGCACGCACGCACGCACGCACGCACGCACGCACGCACGCACGCACGCACGCACGCACGCACGCACGCACGCACGCACGCACGCACGCGCACGCACGCACGCACGCACGCACGCACGCACGCACGCACGCACGCACGCACGCACGCACGCACGCACGCACGCACGCACGCACGCACGCACGCACGCACGCTCGCCGGCGCGTCGGCTCGCTCGCTCGCTTTTCTGGCTTGCTTTCTTGCTCGCTTGCTTGCTCGCTGGCTCGGTGTTTGTTTGGCTGGCTTTCTTGCTCTGCTGTCTTACTGGCTTTCTTGCTTTCTTGCTTGCTTGCTTGCTTGCTTGCTGGCATCTTGGTGCTCCAGCCACGCCCTCTCCAATCGGATTCTCTGTTCTCGACTTCGTATGTGGCAGCTGCCATGGATTCTTTTCATCGCAATGGCCAGAGGCCAATCATGCCCATATGGTTTGGTTGAAGCAGATGGAAAGATGACTCTGTGGAAGCCGTGGAACGTAAATTCTGCCATTGTGCCATTCTCCTTTTGATTTCGGAGTAATTTGGCCTTCTTGGTTTCCCAATGTGTGTTTCAGGAAGTAAGTGCCGGCTTCTCCCACACTTGTTATCAGTTGAATTTATGCCTGCTGTCACAGGGAAAGCCCAGCCCAGGATTGCTTCCGGAGGGGAAGCACGCTATGCATTCAAAAGTGCTGGTCAGCAGACCGAAACAAACCTGTTCCCACTACACAGCCACATGGCAAAGCACAAGCGCAGATTGGGGCTGATCCTGAGATCTCAGCTTCTTCGCAAAGTCTTCACTGTAGTTTCAGAAGCGACTTGAGCAAGGCTTGTGCTGTTTGTCGTGGAGGGCGTTTTTTTTTTTTTTTGCAACGAGGCAATCACGGCGGAGCTTAGGACTGGACTAGTTGGGTTGACTTTCTGTGTAGCGACTCGTCATGCTCACATTGGAGGTTTCTCAAAGTTTAGGTGGCTTTGTTCCTGTGGGGCATTCGGTGATCAGATTTGATTCTAACGTTGCCTGGCATAGGCCTGAACGCGCGCCCTTCCACATCGGTCATTTGCTACAGCCGCGTGCCTAGTGCATCCTAGTCAAACTGACGGACTGCTAGCCATGCAGGGGTTCGTGTGCGTGCACAACTTCACACATGGAATCCTTGCTTGCGGCCCTTGGGCCCCATATCAGCCCAGTGCTCTGAATGTCAGTCATGAATGTCAGTGAAACCCAGGGATATGTATGGATTCCTCAAAGCAGGGCATCCTTATCACCCGTCTATAGCGGGCAGGACTGTTTGCGCAGAAAATGCGCTCCGTGGCTGACCTTGAGTTGACCATTGCCCCGCCTTCGAGGCCTAAGGAATTCTCAAGATTCGTACTCGTTTGCATTGGTGCACAGGTGTGTCTGAAAGTTGTGAGCATCCTTCGGCATCCCCGGCGTTCCTGTTTAAACGTATCATCTATCGCATCTTCGATAGCGTGTGCTCCGTTTCTTGTTGTCACTTTGGTTCGCGCAGAAGCTACGAACAGAGCCAGGTCGCAATGCAGGAGTCATCCATGAGAGACATCGTTTTGGGTGACCTTGTGGGATTTTTCTTGCAAAAGTATGACTGTGGCCTGTAGTACAGCGCGTAGGCCTGTAGAGTGGTGAAGGTTTATACCAGCTCTCACGGCCTGGAGCAACTCGCACGGGCCTCGTCGGTGCGTTGGCATTGCTCCCCTACTGGAGTTCAAAATGTATGTCACAGTTGAGGGTACCAATGTTTTGGTTTGTTCGAAGGGTAGCCAAGGGAAAACCACCCATTCTCTGAGGTTTTATTTGCGACAAACCCAAAAAGGGAATAAGATCAATGACACCGACGCAGACGCTTGCTATCAATTGGCCGTCAGCCAGTTGCTGAGCGAATGCCCTTTGAGGCTTACCACCAGCGCTGCCATTTCCCGGCACCCCCACGCCAGCCCGAGTGCCCAGGGGCACCTGGCGGGTGGCTTCGGCCTTTAAGGGAGAAACTGGCTTGAAGACCTCCTATTTCTGGATTGATGGCCATTCTTTCGGATATCGGAGGGTTCACGTTGGGCGGTTTGTTGTTGCGAGGGGTCAACCTGAAAGGTTGCAGCTTGAAGTTTGGCCATGCGAGTTTAGCTTTACTTGTGGCGGTTTGGAACATGGCATGTTTATCCTTTCCGCCGTCCCCAGCCTCTCAAACCATCGCTGCCCTCGAAGGGTTCCCCGCGCCTTGCAGGCATTGGCCTCCTGCAGTTGGGCAGTGCACGGAGCCCGGCGCGGGGTCGCGGGGTCGGGGCACGACTCTGTGAGTTGCCTCCTGGCCGCTGTCACCTGGCCAAAGGGGCCTAGCGTAGAAGTTCTATTTGATCCGGTTAGCGTGCCAAGGAGCAGTAGGAAAGGCACGCGGAAGGTACACTGCGGATGAACGCAACGGCTTGATCAAAACATGAGCTTGATGGCCGACCGCTCCTTTCCCGCAGGATCCATTTGCTATTTGTCATGCAGTTTGACCCCCCTGAAGCACCAAGTCTGGTTTTGGTGGGTTTCTCACCAGCTGCTCCTCTCAGCAGTAACCCTAGGCCAACGTTCAGCGGGCGCCCACGGAGATCTTTGGGCCGAAGAACCAGAAGTTCGGGGCCCGGAAAACCGGCCTGGGGTCCATGGGCGCGCTCTCCACATGGCGGTCCAGCAAGATTCCCGTTCCGCGTAAAATGGCAAGGTTTCAACAAAGAGATTTGGGATGGAGGTTGCAAGAAGAAGCCGAACCGACAGCATACTATCGGCCATGATGGCCTGCCCGAGTGCTGGGTCATGTGCCATGTAAAAAGGTGTGTGTCTTAGGCGGGAGAAGCGCGCCAGCACTTGCAGGAAATCGTCTCATAACACGCTTGATGCCAAGCTGAACTGGAGCCATGCGTCAAAAGGGGCTGTTCCAGATTCATTGATTCATTCCCTTCATTGAGGACCTGCCCAAAACCCGAGTAACATGCAGTGCCGGAGCCATGGATTCTGAGGTACGGTTCAATGAGCCGATCCAATGACAAGTGGCGTGGAAACTCAGCTGGGCCGTTGGTATTTGCACCGCCGCAGCTTGCGGTTGGATATATGGGAATTCCCCTGAGCCATTTTCCGATGCGAACGAACCTGTAACGCCTTCCCGGGCCGAGTTGCCCCGGTTGCCCCAGGTATGTCCATCATCACCATGAAGGGCACGCGGAGGGGGGGGCGGGTTGCTGGAGGGGAGGTTGGGGATTGCTGGTGGGGAGGTTGGGGAAGGGATGGGGCTGGGCATACGGGTTGGCTCAGTTTGCCAACTGCACCATGTCCAAGTGGAATTTGCATGAAACCACTAACCTGGAGACAGCCCATGCGGCAGTTTTGTTTCCTAGCTAGTGTCAAGTGTTCACATGTCCTGCATTGTGGTACATGTCCTGCATTGTGGTAGGGGGTGCGAAGTCTGAACATTCCGTCAGAGGTGCCAAGAGAGATTCCGGAAGAGAACCCTTTCGATTTTTGCCAGGCTCTGCTGACAGCAAGCATGCAGCGGCTGTTGTTTGTAGATTTCAAAATGCTACTCTGGTGAGCCTTTTGCTCCGAGCAATTGTGTTGTTCAGCGGAGTTGTCGAACTTGCGTCCCAGTGCGCACAAGCAGCTCGAGGTGAAATGTTGGCATCAACGCCATTGAGCCGCCCACCCCTTGGTTTTGGGGGTCCTCGGCACCCGGCCGAAACGGGTTTCTCCCCGGCACCGGCCAGAGCCGAGCAGCTGGCGCTCACGCTCCACCATGCCAGCGCGCCAGGGCCGCCAAGAAGAATTTGTCAGGGCCAAGGCTGCATTGGATATCCTGGCATGGGGCAGCTTTCTGGAGAATTAGTCGAAACATGTACGGACCCCTCCAAAGTGGAGGATTCCTTCTGGTGGTATGCCAAACTTGCTCCTCAAACGCTTTGGGCGCCATGATTCATATGAACCTGCACCTTGTGAGACGCCTTGACCCACTCTAAGCCTATCAGGCATGGGTTCTTTGAACGCCGAGAAGCCTCTGGCCAACACGATGCTGCCCCAATCGATTTGACACATGTGCACTCATTCATATTCAGATGCACCCCTGATCCGAGGAAGTACTTTCTGAGAGCAATCAAAGACTGAGTGACTGAGCGTATAAACTCGCGTGTGAACCTTAGTTTTGTATGTTGGGCGCCATTTCTGGTGCCCTAGGAGCCTGGGCTTGTGCGCCTATGCGGAGGGCCGCCAAGTTGCCGCGGCTACACACATCAGTGCCCTGGCTGTTAGTTTGCGATCTAGATTGATACCTGGGTGACGGCCTCACGCAAAAAGCGACAGGCCTTGACTTGATAGGGCTACTTGTTTGTTTTTTGTTTTTGTCTTTAGTCTTTCTTGTTATTTTTTTGGCAAGGGGGAGTGCGTGGGCAGCGGGTGGGGTTTGCTTTTGCATGTTTTGTGGCCTTGGCCTTCAACAGGTGTAGGAAAACGTGTGTGTGTGTGTGTCTGCGATGGAATGCTCGGTGGCTTTGCTTTGGGATGCTTTCATCCGAGCCGTCCCAGACTTTTTCTCGAAGGCTCAGCGCCCAACATTGCCCCGGACACGCTGAGCATCAGCGGAGAGCTGAGCCCGGAAAGGGGCGGCAGCAACCGGGCTTCTGAAGCGGGGCGAAGGGCAGTGAATGAGCCGGGACAGAACGGCAAGGGACAAACGAGAAGGCCTCCAGGCAAGGGTGAGATGTTGCATCTACCGAACAGGGCAACAATGTGGGCAACAAGGTGTACGGCCGCCTGTGCGCACTTTGAAGAGTTCTCTTTGCGTTTTGTGAATGTCCGCCAGCATCCGACGCTTTTTGGTGGAAAGGCTCTGGCAGTGCCGAATGTTGAGGGTTTGTCAACATGGTGGCACACTTTGAAGCCAGTTCAAAAGAGCGTCACATTTTGCCATGCATAAAATGTAGACTGGTTATATTCGCAGGCGTCGCTTGGTTTTGGTGCTGAGGTGTGAGCCCAGGTGGCGATGCCTGGGGCACAGCGGGGGCACAGCGGTGGGCGCTGACTCGTCAATGCGAAAGGGGAACCAAATGGAAAACCACTGCTTTTCTTGGGCCCACACAAGCACACACCCTGCTCAGCACAATCAGGAGGCTGAATGCGGCATGAGCTCGAAAGTAGGCTGCACTGGTAGGCAATGGAACCTTGTTGGTTGTCTTCAGTTGGGGGGAAGGGGGGCGCGGGGGGGGGGGGGCCTGGAAAATTTGCCTGTGATCATCAGCCATCATTTCACCGTCTAATTGTTGATGCTTGACTGATCCAATGGAGGCCAGTTAGTCAGAGGAGCAATTCAACAGTAGTCTCCAGAAGTCTCCATGGCAAAAGTTGACTCCTGGTTCCACAGGAGTCTCCTGTTCTTCTCCATGTTGTCCGCACGGCTTGAGGCAATGCTGGCTCTCATCTGCATTTTGGCCGTGGTCGGTGCCTCAAGGATTAGGACTTGCTTGGGCACGTTTTGAGGCGCCAACTTGCACACTTGGCTAGTGTTGACCCATAGACGCTTGCGAATGACAGATGTGTGCAAAATGAAAATGCATGTTCCTGCCGTGCGCGGGATCATGTGGATGCTTAAGCATGTTTGCATGCTCACTCGCCTCATGACCCAAATCGATATTCAAGCACCCTCCCGCCACTTTCCCTCGGCTTCAATTCAAGAGGGTTCTACCTTTTCTTTCCGCATGTTTTCAGCTTTGATCAAAAAGAGCGGCTGCAGCAACAAGCACCAAGGCAAGCTTAGTAGCCACACCGGCAGATGAGCAGATGTATGATTTAGCTTTAACCTGTATCATTGGCTTTGGAGGGTGAAAGGTGGGCTCGGATGTTCTGTTCGTGCCCTGGGTCAAAGCTCAAACGCTTAGGCCCTCCTGTCATTTTGTAGGCAGTGGCAAGGTTGGTTTGAGAGAGAGCGTTTGGCAGGGTCTTTCCCGATACATGATGCATCGCACAAGTTCCCTTTTGTCCCATTTCCGATGTTTACTATGTTTACTGCTTGTACTTGTCATCTCACCCACAGCTTTGTTGGGTGTTGGCCTTTGTGACGCAGAACCGATGGATGGCAGAATATACGTGAACCAATCAAATTCATGCAAGCAACTTTGTGCTGAGTGGGACCATGTACCGAGGCCCTTCGTATCCCATCCTAGACGAAGTTAGTCAGCATGGTGTGCATTTCAGTTCCCTTGTGGCCATCTAGGCACAGGGCATGCAGAGTTTTCAAGCACACCCTCAGCCAAGTTGTAGGACTCCTCTTAATTGGGGGTATGCCAAACTTGTAGAAAACGGACCGGCCACCCGTGCCCGTGCCTGAGTTGTGAGGTGCTCAGCATGATGGAGAAGGTGACGCTCACGGAAACGCCTGCTCCTGCGCCCCTCACGGAAGCCTTGCCGCCGGGCTACTCCGCCGGAGATCCGCGAAACTCGAGCCGCTCCCTGCCCGCGTCACTGCCTGCGACTCTCGGATAGCATGAAGGGGGCGAAAGGGCTGGATGCTTCTTAACATTTGGCTTTCCAAATGAAAAGGGTACTAATGGTCCGAAAGATTGCAAATTGCCATGGCTAAAACTATGGTGACGACGCCCGCAACGCGCCCTGCGTTTTCAGCAACTCACCCCGGCCGCGAAAACCTCAAAGCGTTATTTCGCCTAGGCGAAACGCACGTCGCCTGCCAAAAAGCATGTTCCGGATGCCTCAAATCCTCCACGACTGTGTTGTCGTTTTGGACCTGACATGCGTTTCGCCTAGGCGAAATCACGTGTTTTGAAAGAAGCAGAACAACGAAACTTCGTGTTTTCGCCAAGCTGTTCTAGATCAGGCCGCCATATAGCTCAGGCCGGCATGCGCAGCTCGCCAGCTGCTGATACAGTGCTGAGTGGGGTCACTTGAGCGGGTGTGCTTATCATTTGGCAGGGCGTGGATACAGTGCTGAGCGGGGTCATTTGGGCGGGTGTGCTTATCATGTGCGAGCGGGGTCGCTTGAGCGGGTGTGCTTGTCGCTTGGCAGGTGCTGAGCGGGGTCGCTTCAGCGGGCGTGCTTGTCATTTGGCACGGGCAGTGCTGCGCGGGGTCACTTGAGCGGGTGTGCTTATCATTTGGCACGGAGTGGATACAGTTCTCAGGGGGTCGCCTGAGCGGGTGTGCTTATCATTTGGCAGGCGGTGGATACAGTGCTTGAGCGGGCGTGCTAATCATGTGGCAGGCGTGGGCACAGTGCTGAGCCATGTCACTTATCATTTGGCAGGGAGTGGATACAGTGCTGAGAGGGGTCACTTGGGCGGGTGTGCTTATCACTTGGCAGGGCGTGGGTGAGTGGTGAGCGGGGTCGCTTGAGCGGGCGTGCTTATCATATGGCAGGGCGTGGCCACAGGTGTGCCAAGCGTTGTGATGAAATTCGTGACAACGCAATTCGTGACAACGCCTGTCGGAACCCTGCGAACAAACGAACCTGTGAAATGTCAAAATTGGCTAAACATGTCAAGCGTCTGAAAACGCAGGGTACGTTCTGTAAAACATACCCTCTCCAATTGCTTGTTTTTTTTGGGTGTTTGCCTGGCCTGTCTTTAAGCTTTGCCAGGGGCAAAGGGGAGCATCATTCCGAGAGGTTCGCCCATCCAATGGCGCTTGTTTTTCAACGGTCTAGAGAAGCCAGAAGCGCTGGAGTCATATCAGGGTTCATACAGATTCACTTGACCGGCATCGGTCAATGTAGGGAACATGAGGCCAGTCCCTGCGTTCCTTTTGTGGGCAAGCGGCGCACGCCCGCCAAAGCAAACATAAAATGATTGCCAGACCGAATGTAGAACCCGCGCGGCGTTGTGCATTTTGATGACGAGCACGTGCTCTATGTGCAGCATGGCGTACTACAAACTCAGCGGTTGTTCGGTCAGGCCTGCGTCAAGACAGTTTGCGTACTATGTTGACCAAGCTTTTCTTTAGAACGCGGGCCCGCGGCCCAGTGCAAACTCGAGCCCGATGCGCGCTGATTCAGAGAGCAGGCGTGCACGCACACCCATAAGGCAATTTTCCAAGGCGTTGTTTGCAACCATCCCGCAAAGGGGACGTGCGCGAAGCGCAAAAAGGGAGAACATTCCGGCTTTGCACATCGTGCCCGAAACAAGTAGCAAAGCGACTTGGGGTTTTACACCTGGAGCCGTCCAACCCCATCAGAAGGGCGTGCGATATACATGCAGGAGTTTGCACCTCGAGCGCCTGCGCGAGTGACCGCACAAGTTGCAAAACACGTGGTCTGTGCACTTCGGCCCACCTTGTATTTCTTCTGAGAAAAATCATTTGATTTTGGGAAAATAGGTTCCTTGTGCCAGTTCTTGTTACAATCTCTCTGTGCAAGTTTGTTATGTGCAGGATTGATGCTCAGTTCTCTATGCACATTTCTCTGCGCAACGTCCAGACTCTGCGCAAGTTCTTTGAGCAAGTTTCTCTGTGGATGTTTTGCAGTGCACGTTGTCTCTGAGCAAGTTCTCCGCGAGAGGACAAGCAGAAGAACCCTTCACGATGCCTTCGGGAAAGCTAGTCCGGTCAGCCCCAAAAAGAGTTCCCTTTTCCTTCCGGTTTGTAAAGTGTTTCGGGACATCTTCAAACGGAGGCAGTATACATTGTTTATCATGCACGCTGAGGAATCCGTGATCACTCGCAGCTGGTAATGTTGACCCCATGTTAACCAACCCCAGTTTGTTCCACTCCAAAAGTGATGATTCCCCACCAAACCCAGTGAAGCCCCCCTTTTGATAAACTGGGGTTGATTTTTTGCGGGGGGGGGAAACAATACACATGTTCAATTTCCGGCAGAACTCGCTCAGCCCAAGGACGGCCGCGAGCGGCTCCGGGCCTGCGCCCTCAGTGCGGCTCCTGGCGCGGGGCTTAGCCACGGCTGGCAAACTTGACACCAGCTTTGTCAGACTAGGAGTTTGCACCCATATCTTCCTTCCTGGCTCCAAAGCCAACACTTTGAAGCTTGTTTTTAGGATCCTGGGCTGCTGTTGGCTGAGCGTTGTCCCTGTTTCCTGGGGTAGGAGAGGGCTTCTGGCCGAGCTTTCCCATACGGAACGCATTTTGCCTTTTGGCAGTTCACTTTTTAGCTTGAAAAGGTTGCGCGAGGCATGCTTTCTGTCAGATTCTTTGGGTGCAAGCCGAGCGTTCAGCGCCTTTTTCCTCGCAGATGAGGGGTAGCAGTGGTGAGGCTTCGCCCGAAGAGCAGGTGAGGTTTCCTTTGGTTGTTTGCACATCCCGTATACACATCATTGATCACATCACTCTTTTTCTTCGAGCGCAGAAATTTTCTGAGCAGAAAGCGAGTACCTAACACGCCTTCGAATTTGACAATTTTGTCTGGCTGACTTTATTTAATGCCCTCCTCCAATCTAAGCACAAAATCGTGATGATGGTTCCTGTGCACACTGAGATGTGCACAAGTCGACGCGCCACACAAATCGCTTGAGATGTTGATTTCTTGGTCTGATTCCATACTGTCTCTTTTGCACCCATGCGTCGTCATTGAACCATCCATCTTATGATCAGACCCACAAGAATCTTGAAAAATGTGTGGAGGAGCGTTACACATCGTCACGTAAAGCGGGCTCTGATCTCGTGCCATTGCTTGAGATGCAGCCCGTGCGGGCACGCCCAGGACCCGAGCAGGGTGACCAGTGCACGGTCTGTGCCCCGATTGTCTAGCTAGCGGAGGATCAGAAAACAACAACGCGTCGGGGAGCGCGGGCGGGTGGAGGGCAAGCCTCAAATCCTGCAAGGGTGGAATCAAAGAACCTGCGTGCACTTGCACTGAGAGAGAGGGCATCCCGCTCATGAGAAGGATAATTTGGACCATTAGCGCAGGCCAGCCCCAAAAATATTGTGCAACCAGGCACAACCCCCACCCCCCCCCCCCCCCCTCCAATTTCCGCCTTTTCTAGGCCGCCAGAATGGACGGTTTCCTGTATCCGGCGACCTGGCTTTGACTTGTTTGCACGGAGCTGCTTCACTCACCTCACCTCGCCGCTCCGCGAGCTTCTGAGCTAGCCGTAGTTTTGCAGTTTGCGCCATGGAGCTCGTGCTGTCCCTGGGGGAGGGGCCTGGGGCTGTGGCGTTTGGACATTCAGAAAGGCCAAGAAAAGCAGGGAACCCTCTACATGGCTTCCTTTCCAGATTTCGTTTCAAAACCATCTAAAAGGGGGCTCCCAACTTTAGCACACACCCATGTTGGGAAGAGTTGATCGAACCTGCCGAGAAGCAGCAGAAGCCTGCCCAGAGTGTCCACGGTGGTTCCGCATCGGTGGCAAGGGTTCTCAACCTCCTGGTTTGGAGAAGTCGTTGTGGGGCTTTGGATGACACCCTCAAGCTGTGGCTGCAAACGGAAACAGCGTCGTGGTCTTGCAACCGGGGCCCTTGCATACAAGGTTGGCTCGTTCTGTTGAAGAGGCAGTCAGGGCCTAAATTCAAAATGGGGCTCTTTAAAACCATTGAAGTTGTTTTTCCCAGTGCTACAGTATGGTTGGCGAAAAGTGTTAATCACATGGCGGAGCTAAATCCAACCGTCGCTGAGGTTGCCCGACCTGCTGTGCAGCTGGCGGGGGGCCTCCTGCAAAGGGCAGCTGAGAAGGTTCGTCGCTCATGTGTAGACCCAGCACGCTGGCTTATTGCAGGTGAGCAGGGAAAACACATGTAGAACTGAAAGGTTCACACCCATGAGACATACTCGCGTTTTTGTCTGTGCAGGTGTGCAGACGTGTTTCAGTTCTGATTGCCATCGATGGCTTTTGTCAATCGGCAGTTCAGTCGGCCAGCTGAGATACGACAAGGTCACCAATGTAGCCAATGTACTTGGGGTTCGCGTTTAGTTCTCAGGGCCCTCTAGGTCCTGGAGTAGGCGGTGAGTGTGGAAGTATGGAAGCTTCCTTGCCAAAGCGCTGGGCGTTTGGAAGCAGTGTTTGACGTATTCCCTTGCCAGGATCACTCATTTGGTCCTCTGTTCTTTTTGGAAAAAGGCCTTCGCTTTTGGTTGTTTTCATGGCGTATCGCTGGAAGGTACCGGGCAGCCATCCGACTGGCGTTTGGCTTGCAGCGTGAGCAAAACCCTACCGCAGATGGGAGAAGTTCGGGCATAGGTTTGGCAATGCCGTGTTCCAACGTCCCGAAAGCCCTTAGCGGCGTGGCTGAAAGTCAGGTGCGTCGGGAGTTGCGCCACCTGGAGGATCATGTGGATTGCCAGGGGCATGGCTCATAGGAAAGCATTCGTATCCAGAAATTGTTGGGTTGAGCTCACCGCAACGTCGTGCAATTCAAAGGGCTCCTTCTCATTCCGCACTTTTCGTTGCCTTGGGCCTGCATGTTGCTGAGGCTACCCATTTTGTTGGGGGTAGTATGGAAGGGAAGCCAAAGAGACGCGTTCGCGGTGCCCCTATTTGGACACATGGCCATGTGCAAATGTGCAGAGGCTTCTCCACGACCGACTCGGACGACAGCCCCGAGATTGAGAGCCCGTGCTCACTGCAAAGCGGAAGTGACACCTCTGTGGTGAAGAGCGCCGCTCGGCGTTGAAGTAGCGAGCCTTTGTGGGCCCTCGCGGTTCGAGCGGAATCTGGCTTGGGGCTCCACCTCCCCACTCAAAAATCAACAGGGGTAATCTGCAGTGGACCTTCAAGAGCGGGTTGTGGACCAGGCGAGCATCATGATGCGGAGCGCTTGAAACAGCAAACTGCAGACAAGTTTGAGGGCACGGTGCTGTAGACCATGGCAAGCCTTAGCGTGCCTCCGTGAACTCTGATTCACCAACATGGACAGTACTCATCCCACATTTCTTCTCGTATGTCGATGCAGCGACACGTCACACCCTTCCAGCTGGGAATGCTGGGAACCCATGGCGTTGTGGCCGGTCTCGCCAAAGCAGAATGGCAAACAAACACACGCACACACACACTCACACACACACACACACACACACACACACACACACACACACACACACACACACACACACACACACACACACACACACACACACACACACACACACACACACACACACACACACACACACACACACACACACACACACACACACACACACACACACACACACACACACACACACACACACACACACACACACACACACACACACACACACACACACACACACACACACACACACACACACACACACACACACACACACACACACTCCACACACACACACACACACACACACACACACACACACACACACACACACACACACACACACACACACACACACACACACACACACACACACACACACACACACACACACACACACACACACACACACACACACACACACACACACACACACACACACACACACACACACACACACACACACACACACACACACACACACACACACACACACACACACACACACACACACACACACACACACACACACACACACACACACACACACACACACACACACACACACACACACACACACACAGATACTTAGTATCTAAGAACACACACACATATATATAATTACACATATTTATATATATTCAATTTTCATCTATTTGTGTATGTACGAAAAAAATATTTACCATTTGTATTTACTGTGATTAGCCATGTGATCAGGTGTCATCAGGCATGTCGCGATAGTGACTGTCCTGTGACATTTGGCTCAAGTTTACTGGTTCCGTCGCGACCTCGAATGGGCGTCGCCGGACCCTTGCGTCGACCGACGGGATCTTGGGGGAGAAAGAGACCTCAGGCTGCCGTCAGGTTGGTAAGGTCGATGTGTGCGGTTCATTGTCGGCCAAGGCCGCGGGTAACCCTTTTCTCTTTTGGTTGTTTACTGTGGTTGTTTGGTCACTTGTGTGTTGGGAACCCTGACATGCATGGAGAACGTCATGCAGGACAGGCAGGCTTTGCAGAGGGACTTCGACGCGCTGATCGTGGGCCAACTCCGGCAGGGGTTATGACAATTGCTCGGGCGGTGTGGTTAGCCATGTCATCAGGTCTCATCAGGCATGTCGCGATAGTGACTGTCCTGTCACATTTGGCTCCAGTTTACTGGTTCGAAAGGCGTCGGACCGTGACAGTCGACCGACGGGATCTTGGGGGAGAAAGAGACCTCAGGCTGCCGTCAGGTTGGTAAGGTCAATCCGTGCGGCTCATTGTCGGCCAAGGCCGCTGGTCACCCTTTTCCCTTTTGGTTGTTTACTGTGGTTGTTTGGGTCACTTGTGTTTTGGAAACCCTGATCTTTGGGACCGGGGATTGGTTACTGTTTTGGGGTCCTTCTTTTGTGGCTTGGTTACCCCAACTAACCCTTCGCCCGGGCACAGGTTCGCGCCCGAATCACACTTGTTGTTATGTAACTTATGTATAACAAATATATACATGACATATAGACGCACAAAGCAAGCCACACGTTTCGCAAGACACACCAAAGGGTTTCTGAATCCGAAGCAGTTGAATGACCTTGACGCCTGTCGCAATGTGGAATGCCCGATTTCTGCGGGCATGTCGTGGATCCTTTTCGCTTCTTTGTATGTTATGCCCAAAGGGCCTTGGCCTCTGAGGTCTTCCTCGTCCGCCATGGCGAAGCCTTGCACAATGTGGCAGAAAAGCGGGCCATGTGCTCTGGCCGCGCTGCCTTAGAGGGTGCCGTGTTTCCTTGCCGTTGGGAGGTGGGTAAAATATCGGAGTAGGGAGGAAGCCAAAAACACACCTCACCCCCGTACAGGTGCTTAGGGTCTTCTCAAAAGGGGTTCTCAGGACATCTGTCCAAGGGGTGGGGGCCCAAAAGTCTCTGGAGACGGCCAAGAGGGTAGACACGCTTAAGAACACGATAGTCTCACCCAGCATGTAGGTTTCGTGACCGGGAAGCCCAGAACTTGCCACATACTTCCGGCCTGCTCACACATGCTGGGAACTTGGTGGTGCCACGTAACCCAACATACCGCTAGACCCTTTGTGCAAGGCATGCTTCGTAGCAAAGCTGTTATGGAATCCAAGGGGGGCAGCCCGCTTGTGCTCACTTGAAGCCATTTTTTCCATGACTGGCTGGACCCCGTTGGCAAGGACGCAACAGACCTTGGCACTCAGCGTTCGGCTACATTTGACTGCTTCTCTGCTGCACCCGCACAGCGTGTTGCAATTCAGGCAGCAGGCCCTGGATGAGAACGACGTGAAGGACGAGGAACTGAAGAAAGAAGTGTTGGAGCTGCCCAGCTGCAAGCGAGCGGCTTCTAAAACCCCGAGGTTTTCAGGAAACTTGAGTAGGCACCTGTCGGGTTGTTTTGGCAAAGGGATGGCCGATCTTTCAGAGGAAGGCAGATAGCCGGCCAAGCAGACAGCACCTTGTCGTTAATTTCTGACTTCGCATTACCACATCTTCAGGAGAGGCCTTGCTTGGGGTGCAACTTGGTTTGAGATGACCCTTCTAGTGCGGAATTTCTTCATAGAGTTATGCCCACTGATCGCCATGCGGCCCAGACTTGCCACCCGCTAGTATTTGAGTATTTTTGCCGCAGGGCCCACGGAAGCCAAATTAGTCTTACACCCGCAGGATAGCCAACGGATACTGTACTTACCATGCGGTTCCTCTCAGCATGTTGGAATTCCAATTGGCATGGTTGACCTTCTCCTCTCAGTGTAGAACCACCAGTTTCTTTGGAGAATGCGAAGCCTGCATGGGCCTCCGTGCTTGGACTTGTGAGCGCTGAAAACGGCCCTGGCAGTCGCTTGCCACTGATTTGGGTCGGCCCTTGCAGGATCGCGCGAAAGTCCGTGTTGACTGACGAGAACTTGAAGGATGCACCGCGCCCCGGTGTGATCGGCATTTCGGGAATTTGTGGTCATGGCGATGTGAAGCTCGTCAGGGGACTCATGTTCTTGGGTCAAGCGCAAGGCAGAGGGCGTTCTTTGCATGCAGCTTTTTCTGGCTCCTGCAAGCCCGGTGCGCACCGCGGCAATTTGAGTAGCTTGACAAGATGCATGCTTTGTGACTTCACCTCCTTGCCCGCACGAGGTTGTCAGAGAAAGGGCAAGAACAGGCCGCAACAACTGCGACCCGCCTGATGGGGGGGATGAGGCATCGGCGGCACGCCGAAGGCATGAGGGTCCAAGGAAGGCGATGTCAACCTCTTGGATAAGTTGAGTCTCGACTTGGCTCTTTGCACGTATCACATTCCCCGCCTATGGTTGGTGAGGCCCAGAGGAGCGGAATACAAATGCCCCAAGTAAGGTTGCAGCTTGCAACCTTAGCAGCAGGGGTAAGCCCGGTTTGGCAAAGCAAGCCGCTTGGAGTCTATCGGACGGGGGGATCGCGCAAAGGCAGCAAACATCGAGAAGATCGTGCTGGAGGAGAGGGCGGAGAAAGCATGTGGCCTTTCGTTTCTCACGCAGCTGTCATCCCTCGCCCGTGGGATGTGTGCATTCTAGTTCAGCAGTTCAGTAGGGGCTTTGACACGAATGCGTAGACTGTTTAGCGGGTGAGCGCAGGGTGCAACATTTAGTGGAGAAGCGAAAATTCAGTGGACTTTAGCTGGTGCTGCCTGCAGGACACTGATTTGAAAGCTCCA